GTTACGTGCCTCATTTTTCAATTACGTACCTCACACTCACACGACCTCCCTCATTATTTCTTTTCATTTTTTTAACAAAATTACAAATTTAGACACCATAACTGTTTGATACATAAAATAAAATCAAAATAAAAATTGTATATGAAATCCTGTTCAAAAATTTAATTGGTTAAAAAATTTAAATTTGAGTACATCAACCATGATCTATGAGTACAATTTTTCTTCTGCTGTGTATAACATATCTTTCGCTGTATGCGAGTAACTTCTGTATTGATAATTATTACATATCACTAAGGATATATTACACACAATGGGAAAAAAGTTGCACTCACAAATTATGGATGCACTCGCTCAATTTAATCCTTTTAAACAATTAAATTTTTAAATAGAAACTCCCGTATGCATATGCTTTGGCCATATATGAAATAATGGAAGATGCAGCCCATGCTTTGTTGATGAGGGAGAAGCTTAGCAGAAAGTTAGGCCTCCTGAAATTAAAAAGCGTCTTTATGTCCATTTGCTATGTCTGGGAAGCATAATACTCCTCTGATCCTAAATATAAGACTATTTTTAGTGTATTTATACTATGCAAGAATATCATATCAATCAGCGACCAATAGTACAAACAAAAGTTTGTATATTTTTTTGACTCTTGCATGAGCCACACTTTTTTTTTAAATCAATTTCCTATATCTCATTTATAGATTGCTCCACAATCATCGGCTTTTAATGATTATTTTATTTTTTGGCACCAAACTAACATATTTTAGACTATTTATAAACATATAGTATATCTTATTGAAAATTTCACATATTGTGATATTAAAAATCGTGAATCACTAGTCTTTTTGTTTTGATGTCTGCTCTATATTTTAAAATAATTTTTGATTTGAATAAATTAATAATTTTTAATATTATTAAATATTTTAAACATACATAAATTTAAATATATATAAGGGTTTTAGTCATTTTCAATGATTTATTATACTTTGGATCATTTAAATACATTTCTAAATTATTTAATAATTTAATTTTTTCATATATATTAATTATTGTATATAATATTGTTTTAAATTAATTATTGTATCACCGGTCCGACCAAACGGTTCGACCGGTCCGACCGATTGAACCATGACCCGTTCGACCGGTCCGACCGATTGAACATGACATCGTTTGATTTTTTCCGGTTCACTTCCGGTCCGGCTTTTAAAAAACATTGCTGTGAAGAACTAGTTTGCCCATTCTTCCAAACACAGCACTGATTGATTGTCTCATATCTATTTATGCCGTCGTCTTTTCCGTGGTTCATGGGTAAACAACGCCTGGATCTGTCAATGGGCGCAAAGGATCCAATGCTGAAAATCCCAAGCATACGTGAGAGATATTTTCTTTCTTTTTAGTCAGCATGATAAAAAGAAGAGATCGGTAATTATGTGGACTTGTCGTCCCTCTTGTCAACGTTAAGTGTAATGTCTTATAGTATTCAAATTGCGTCATGCATTATTCTATGATATAGTAAAACGGAGGAGAATATATATATATATATATATGTGTATATGTATGTGTGTATGAAGATGAATAGAGATGGGGAGGATAGAGGGAAGGGTTTGGGAGATACTTAAGGATTAAGGATGGGATATGGAAGAGAGAAGGAAGAAAGAAAAGAAGAACACGAAAGAGACGCGGGTAGGGAGTGGGAAGCTTGAAGAACCAAAAAAAAAGAGAGAAGAGAGATTCCATGTTTCATAATTCAAAAAAAAGGTGAGTCCGCATTCACTCGCAAAGTTAAAAGCAGCCTAGCGCCTGTTTCTTCACAAGTGGCCCCATTTCTCCTCTTTCATATTTTTGGGCATCCTATTGTCACCGTCCTTCCCAATTTTTGTAATTTGTTTATGCGTCTATATGTCTCTCTCTGTATATATAAATGTCTTTTTAAATTCTAAATATAAGATCTAGTTTTTATAGTACAAATTATATTACGAATTAGATTTTATATTTAGAATAAGAAGTAGTAGTGAATAAGAAAGAGATTGACAATTTGATTTCAAATTTAAATCTACGTATATAGAAGGTGGCTAGATTAACCTGTAAGTGATTTATACATGTATACCTACAGATCTGCAAAGAAGCGGAATTGTTTAGTGCAAATTAGATTTTATTTTTAAAACTGGAGGTAACAGAACATAAGGCTTTGCATCTTCTTTCCCTCTGTATATGATCAACGTGTGTGTTGGGTTTGATGGATCTTGTTTCGTTTATATGTCCCAAAATAATAGAACACACACCCAAGCAAAGCTTTACCTCTTTTCTTTCTTTACAATATGGCATGGGGATCCTTCAGGATATGTTTTCTTTTTCTGCTTTCCTTATCAAACTCCCTTCTTTTCTTCTTCTTCTTTTTTTCCTCTTGTAATTTTATTTATTGTAACTATGAATACTTGTTTCTTTTTAATCTTTTTTTCTGCTGCCACAACAATTTATCTCCCGCGTGTGATTCCTCCCACATGTTGCGCCTGGCCTTTTTGCCACTCCCGTTAAAAATTATGTTTCAATGAAATATTTATATTTTTATCATCAAATTAGAACACATATTTTCCTTTTTTGGGGGGGGGGGAATCCAAATGCGTAATCGTTGATCCTTCAAAATTAGGAGATAGTGCAAAACGGGCTGGACCCAATCAGACAAAGAGCCATAGGGATACTCATGCAATAGAGAAACCTTGATGAAGGAAGTGTTTGAAAGCACCCAAAAATACTTCTTAGAAGTATTTTTTAGAAAACGAGCAAATTTTTCTACATATTTACTCTGTATATCATAAAAAAATTTAAAATTATGATTTAATTTTTATCCAAACACTCCATAAAAAGATTTGAGAATCATGTAAAAACACTGAAAAAAATGTTTCAATTTAAGTAGAAACAAAACTTTTTTCACATACTTATTTCAAATCTTATAAAATTATTTTTAAAAAACTAATCCAAATACACTCAAATTTATATTTATGAATACCTGTCCATTTTTTTATTTAAAATATAATACTTATAATTAACAGTAATCAAAAGAGTCAATTTGAATTAATATTTTTTCCCCAAAAAAATAGTATCCATACCTATCTACGGGTTAGGTAGGGTCGTGAGGTTGACGCGACCTGCTTCATGCCGGGCCCAAACCACCCAATCAATTCGGCCTCACCTCCTGTCTACCTTCTGTAGTTTTCACTGCGCTCCTGAATTTGATCTGACAATGACCCTCCGGTTTTAAGATCAGTACATCCTTATTAAAAAATCATACAATTATTCATTTCAATGGTGATTAAATACGAGATATAGATATAAGATTTTAATCAATTTTATTCTTAAATTCATAATATTTTATTTAAATTATTTACATTGATCGCACATACAAAATCGGTGTTTTTATATTTTCAATGCATATGATTAAGGGGCATCTTATAAAAACTAATACACATTTTTACAAATAATTAACCAAATTAATTTTCTTAATTCAGCTTCTTTATTTAAGATTTAAGGGAGTATATGATAATATTCTCTTAATCTTGAGATGTTTCTCTTGTTTTTTTTTATTTTGTATTTTGAAACATTAGAGAAACCTTATTCTTTATTGAAAAAAAGTAATAGTTGATGATAGTTATATCATTAAACATGTAAAAAAAAATTGTTAGCGTTTTCAATTATGCTCTTACATTAAAAGCCAATACACATTAATTATATTATTTATAAAGTTTAATTGTATAGAAGGATAAAACAGAGAAAAATATTAAATGCTTTAGAACGATTTTTTTTATATAAGAGTTTTATTTATTTTATGTATGTACATACGTATATTTATATACTACCTCTGGTCCTAAATGTAAGGCTTTGTTTGTAAATTACAAATGACATCTTATATTTAGGACCAGAGGTAGTATTTAAAATTAAAAATACATGAAAAGCCATGTTCATTTTAACAATATGCATGATGGTGCCAACTCCAAGTGTTCCACTTCGAAAAAGGAATTTTAGTCGTCGGGGTCACAAATAATAAAGTTTTCTTTCCAATAAGGTGGGAATCTTTGATATCTGCCCTCAATCTTAGAGAGAGAAGTACCCAAAATCATTTTGTTTCCTCATGTTGAAAAATTAATCAAAATTACTTCTAACTAACATTAGTGTTATTCATCACGTGGCTACTGATTGAAGGATCTTCTATTTTCCTAAATGCGATGCACCCCTTTGTGGCTCCTTTGATCAATTTGCAAATGGAACCAAGATGCTACATATATATACCTCTCATCTCCCTTGATCTTATTTTTATTTTAAATTAAAATACTATTATGGTTTAATATAATTTTTACATTATACCAGACAATTTTTTTAAAAAAATTTAATGGACGTCAAGCGTTATCGTTGATCACATATAAAAGTTTCATCTTTAATTTCGTAATTATGGATCCACCTATTATTTTTTATTTTCTTTATGTCCGGTCTTTATTTAATTAGTCGCAGTTTAGATCTTTTCATGGGGATAAAAACCATATACTTAGATCTCCCCCAAATCCCCTATCAGTTTTCTATCTTTTTCATCAGTAAATACCAAAAACTCCTCTTTCCTTTTTCTCCCTACATGTAATTGATTCAAATCTGATTTCTCACATCCATATCACATTCGTCCCCCTTTTCTGTTCTTATTATCACTTTAATACTCAGCACTCAGTTTCATATAATATCACTAGTTTTGTCACAATTCAGTGCACTGATATAAACTTGGGAGATCCTATGTGCGTCCCAGAAATTGATCACTCCTTAGTCCTAACGGCTGTCCATCTTAGCCGCTCAACTCTGCAGGACTCCAACTTCCATCCCACATACAATTAAGACTTTCAAGATCATATAATTTAAAATTCATAAAAACTACAACTTCAAATATAACCTTCTGAATTTTGAGAGACTGAAGTCCGATTGCAAAACGTCAAAAAAAAAAAAACGTAAATGATCAAAAATAAAAAAATAAAGCCCTGCACTGTAAGGACTACTTATCCTTGTATTTCCTATTTATACATCTCTCGAGCAACTCATGCTGGAGAAAAAGTAGGAGGAGCAAGGGAGCACGTGTGAAGAGGTCAAAAATGAAAATATTATACAGGAGCCACGGCAGTGTGACAAATACAAATACTCATCAAGAGACAGCCAAAGCATGATGGACAGGAACTCAGGAGTTTGCTGAGGTTATGTATGATACAACAACCGTAATGTCATCGAGCTTGCCACCATAATACCGGAAGCCGGCCTCTTGAGCAGCGGCAGAAAACGGAGTCTGTCTGTTTTTGTCCAGTGCACGCTGACGGGCCAGAGCTGCTATCTTCTGCGCAGTAACTTGGGGTTCAAGTCCCGTTCTAACAGCATGTACTACGACTGCTGTAATTTCATTATTGTATAAGTTGTCAAATAACCCGTCCGTTCCCGCAATCACAACATCTCCTCCAGCAACAGGCACTGTAAACACCTGTTCACATTATTGCAAGAAACATGCATACTTAGGTTGCCTTGGGGTTACCACTAGTTATACAGATTCTTTGCATTTTATTTCTTCTCGTTTCTTGTCAATGTTGAAGAGATAGCCAGACAGTGTGCGGGATACATCACTCGAGTAGGTCTCATACATCACAATAAAACCTACCGCTTAAGTCAGCCTCGTGCATTCTGTATTTTACTTTCTTCAAAATTGACAAGAAATTAAGTAACAAAAATAGAGATCCAAACAACATATGTTTTCAAATACACAGATCTCATCTTCCACGAGGCTTTGCTGCTGAAAAGTACTAATATCATTATTTCGGGAGAACAAACAAGAAAATCAGTTAGCTAACATCTTCAGTGTCTCCTTGAGTGAAAACAGACCCATGCAACTGTACAACTTACAAAATTTAAAACGCAAATCCTCTTTCATGTCTATACAAGATCCACATGCTTTTTATTTTTCATTCTCTCTAATCTGTGTGTGATGAACCTCTCTCTACCAAATAATCAAAGAAACTGATTTTCACTCTCCTCTCTGTTTTCCATCTTCCATACTGAAGGCCTTTTTTTTTTTTTGGTTGGGGGTGGGCCGTGTCAAAGGGAAGAGCTGTTCGGTGTCTACACATAGCTTTATGCTGACAACAGGCCACATCTCACTTAAAAAAATGGCTATCGGAAGGAAGACTTCCTTAATTTGAAAATTTACACATGGCTAAAGCAGGCCATTGAAAAGATCAAGGTCATGCCAACATGAAGTGAGGATACTAGTATTTGAAGTTACCTCACCAGAACTGGGTAGATCACCTCCATCGCCACTCTCTAATTGATATGTAAAATTGAAGCCATGCTGTTGAATAGGAGACTTGAAAATGGTGCTTCCATCTCTAACCACAATGAATCCACTGTCACCCAAGTTAATAGCATGCAGCTCCTGGACCAAGAAGTCAAATGGATGGAAGTGAATATCAACAAATCAACAATACTTGTTACATACACACATATGTAGGCAATTATGTGTGTACATGGTAAAAACTAGCCAAGTTTCCTTGAAAAATTCAGTGGCCGCAGAATTTAGTCAATTAAATGCAGGATATAGAACACCAGCCAAACAATATCAAGTGTATAAGCGAGTCAGACGAGAAAAGTATGAGCACGTATGCATATCCATGAGTATTGGCAAGAAAAATGTCATCAAAACACAGGAGAGAAGACGCTAGCAGAAATTCCTACATGCATTAATTCCATTTAGCGTTTGAATTAGAGCTTGGTTGTAGACATGATAAAGTCATCAATCCACAAAGACATTAACACACTGATGATCCTGAATCCTAATTTAGATAAGAGTATAATTATTGTTGTCCAAAATCATGCCCTGCACATCATGTTTCAAACACAAAGTTTGGGCAATATAAGATCAAATGATTGTTACTAATGTAAACTACTGCAGAAGTGGCAGTGCAATTGTCAAAAGCTTTCATGTCGATACAGATAAAAACAAGAGTAACCTTCTGGAGATTCAGTGCCATTAAAATGCTTTTGTGGCTTGGTTCACCTATTTAGAGTCCATTTAATTTATTCTATAGATAATTGACCAAAAGTAATTGGTTTGTATGAACTTAAAATAAAAAAGCAAAACCTTTTCAGCAAGGGCAATTATACAGGCTGTTGATGAACCCTTGGCTCTTGCACTTGAGTGAGCCTTCTCTAACACCCTCGCTGGATTAATAGAACCTTTTGGTTCGTCTTGGATTGCTCTTACTGAATTGGACATAAGTTCACGAGAAAAGAGTCCCGCATTAACACCAACTTCTGCCCAACCACCTACACCATCTGCAACTCCAAATGCTTGTTCATCAGTGCAAATAAAATGAGCATCTTCTCCACCAGTCTCCTCCTTATCTGGATGTGGTAAGTAACAAGATCCTGAAAATAGCTTCAAAGTCTCGCCACCATCAACTGTTCTGAAAATAACACAACTAATGTTATTAGAAAGTAAATACTCTTTATAAGTGACTAATTAATTAACTAAAGAGCAAGCAATAATGTAGCGTGGCAAATAAGAAACGTAAGGACAGTCTATTACATCAAACGAAACATAATACATCACCACATGCTTGTATTTTATACTAACCTTCTCAGTTAACCATCCCTAGCACTACTCACCACATAACAGACTCCTACGAGAAATCGTTTATATGTGATCCAGCAACACTGGTCCCTCTTTTAATTATTTGAAAATTATGATTGATGCAAAACTAATGCACAGAGAGCACACTTACGGGGCTACTGTAGGGGTGGAATTTTCAAGCTGTTCATCACACGCGCTGCGGTCAAATGAGACATTGTGTGCTGCCCGAGCAAAGAAGGAAGTACAAAATGTAGCAGAGAAATTCTTCAGCCACGGTCGATGAGGAAAACTTGAAATAGTATCGAGAGTCGAATACCTAGTATTAAGAGCATTATTTAGGTAACCTTTACGAGTTCTGTCAACAAAGCAACCAGCACCAGGCTTTTTGAAGTCTAGCGTATTGCTACAGCTAGTGGAGATATCATCGACACAAACACCTCGCAGTACAGATTTGGAGGTTGAAGCAGCCATTGATTTGCTTTTAGGCGTACGGCTTGAAAAGGAAGGACTGGCATGAGATATATATGAAGTTGAACAAAGTGAAGAAACAGACGCAGATGAACGTCTATATAGCAAAGATCGCAGCCCTTGTTGCCGAGTTATTCCTTCCCGAAAACGACAGTACATGGTAGCGTTCAGCTTTGATAGATAACCAGAAGGATTCTTAAGCTCTTATGCAGAGTTCTAACATTCAGTTTCTCTTTTGGGGAAACCTAGGATGTTGCCCAGATTACAAAATCTCATTCCCTAACGAGCAAGAAGTTTTCCACCAAAGCTTTGAGACGAGAAATAAAGTTCCGAAATGCTGAAATAAATAGCTGAGAAGAAAAATAATTAAAATCAGAAATTATTGAAACCGCAGTATAAACTTCATACAAATGAACATATAATATGAAGAGATTAGAGATGCGCAGTCAATCTCCTCATTGCACATGAGGAATGAGAAAGACCATCATCACAGACACAGAAAATATGTGTAAAGAGACGCATCAGACTGGGAAATCAAACTAATTGGAGAAATAAATCCAATTGAGGGCAATCGTAGCTCGAAATATGAAGTGATTTCCCTCGATCTGAAAGAGATAATTATGAAGATGAGACGAAACGGAAAACAAAATCTTATACCAGGAAGCGAAAGATGGGCAACGCGGGCAGATTTTAGAGGTTGAGGAAGAAGCTCCGATGATGGCCTGAATGTTACACCGTCGGAGCTTCTCGTTCCTCCGATGCCAAGACCTAATTCGCGTGCACCTAAGCCCACCCTTGGCTCCTAGTTAGTTAATAAAACCGACCCTTTATCCGGAAGAAAAAAAGTCGTTATTTTTATTTTTATTGTCAAATTCATTTTCAGTTTTTGAAGCAACCACATAAACACGGATGAGAGTAAATCGAAATCGTTACTAATATTTAGGAAAACGAAGTGTTTGGTCCCTATATTTTTACCTGATTTTAAGATCCGTTTCTATAAATTTAAAAAAAAAAAAAATTGAACCGCTGGCATGGGTTATCAAGCTTAGCTGGAAATAGGTGCCTGCCTTAAAAGGCAATGGGAGAGGCAGGCTTAGCTGCGGGAATAGTGTACTTACGATTGCTAATTTAATAGTATTGGCTAAAATCTTGAATACTTGCGATAAAATGATGTCAAAATCAAATGATTTTTATTTTGGTTATTCTGTAAGGGGTAGTATAATTTTTTATATGCCTGGAATTGGGGTTTATTTAAATTTTAATCCCTCAAATTTCAAACATATTATTTTAATTTTTGAAATTTAGTTTGTTTTAAAACATTAGTCTCTAAAGATGTAACGATGTTAAAATCTACTAAAGTGTCAAACAATAACGTTAAAATTGTGATGTAGGCTCACTAGATGATACCTAGCTAGATTTTGTGTGAATAATAGAATGGTAAAAAAAGAATAGGTCCTCAAATCGCAGCTATTTAGCCCCCTATTTTTTTTTCTTCTTTGCTATTCATTGTAAGAGTTATTCACTATATCGCATTTTATTATCCACACAAGATCTATTTAAATGTCATCTTGTGAGTCAACATTACCACTTTTAACGTCATTGATGACATTTTAGCTGATTTTAACAATCATTGCATCCTTAAAAACTAACGTTTTTGAGATAAACTAAATTTAAAAAACTAAAAAACTAAAATCAAAATGAGCTCAAATTTCAAAAATCTAAAATTATATTAACTCTTCCGTAAAAGATGAATTAGTTACGGTCTGAGTTTTGATGCAGCGAGGTAGCAAGAGATTGGCGGTAAAAATAAATAAATAAACTTCTCTAATTCTAAAATATAAAATAAATCTTAAATTTAGAAATAAAAAAATATAAAAGAGGGTAAAAGTCGAGGAAGTGAGATTGCATAAATGCAACGTGGGCTGTGGCAGCGGGAACTATTATAAAAGACAGCGGGAATGGATGACGCGTAACGCGTTAGTATTGTTTGATAAAGTAGGCTCGTATGGAGAAGGCAGGCCAGTTAAACGGAGGATGCAACCTCAACTTTTATTACCCCTCTTTTAGGACCTGTTTAGATTAGCGACAGAAAAAACAGTTTATTTTTAATCTAATTTTAAAAAAAATAAGATTAGGTAAAAGTTAAAATAGATAAGTTGAATTGTGTTTGAATTGGAGTTTAGAAAAGTTAGTTTGTAAAAATAAAATTGATAAAAGGTTGTTTGAATTATGATTGAGTAAAAATAAGCTTGTTTGTAAAATTATCAAAATGGGTATGGGTTTTAATAAATAATGAAACATCATTAAAAAAATAATTTTACATAATACAATGAATTTAAATTAAATTAATATGAAGAAGTGAATTTTAATGAGTGAATTAATTTTAAAAATTAGAAATTTTATAAAATAATTGTGAATAGAAATTTATAATTGAAAAAATTACAAATATTAAAAATACATAATTAAATATTATAAATTATAAATAATATGTTGGCCAAAAAATATAAATTATAAATTATAGATAATAACAAAACCTGTGAATGATGCTCCCTTTTCATTTCTCCACACACTTTTCGAGACATGATCAGACTGTATAAGGATCCGTTTGGCAGGGCTTTTGAGGGGCTTAAAAGTAATTTATTTGTAGTATAAGTAAAATTAGAAAAGTAGTTTATTATTAATTTGGTTTATGGAAAAGTAAAGTTGGGTAAAAGCTAAATTGGATAAGCTGAATTGTGTTTGAATTGGAATTCAGAAAAATTAGTTTGCAAAAGTAAAATTAATAAAAAGTTGTTTGGATTATAATTGAGTAAAAGTAAGTTTGTTTGTAAAATTACCAAAATGGGTATGAGTTTTAATAAGTAATGAAACATGATTAAAAAATGATTTTACATAATATAATGAATTAAAATTAATTTGGCATTGGACCTAGATATTCATTTGGTGTTGAATATCTTGCATCAACCAAGTAATATTTTTTTTAAAATACAATTTTTTTTTACCAAGAGAAATTTTATATAATTTTTTTTTAACTCGAGACAACTTTTATATGTGAGATACCTCAAAAAGGCAATTTTTTAAAATACACTTTTCTTAAATAAAATTTGTAAATGAACTTATAAGAATTTTACGCATTATAAAATACGAATATCATACATTTTTCATAATTTAAAGTATTTTAATTTTCAACAAATAAAATATAAAAAATTGAAAAAAATTTTATCATATCGAAGAAGAGTAAATTCTTACTACTTTTTCATAACTTGAACTCTTTAGATTATTATATTTAAACAATTTATATTGTAATTTACTGCTTAATTTTAAATTTTTAATTAATTAAGCAAAATCAAATTAAAAAAAGAAGAAAAAGAACAACGGTTACCCCAATGGTATTCAAATAGCAATTGGCTGATAGAGGGAAATGAATGAAGGGGAAAGGTCAGAATTGGATGGTGGACCCACCTACATATACAATTCCAATGGTAAGCCCGATTTTTTTTTTTCCCTTTAGTTGTCTACCCAGTTCACCGGAGCTTTGCTCCTACTACATTTAGATTCGATCCGCGTCGCGTACCTGGCTGTGGTAGGTGAGTCTCCCAACGGGGATTTCAAATTTGATTCCCATAAGCTACAAATATCAGCTTATGTAAAAGTCCGTTTCAATCCAGCTTTTTGGGCCCAAATCAGATGACTTAGGATATGTTTGGATTGATGTTGGGCAAAACTGACTTCTAGCCTAACTGACTTTTGTAATTGAAGTCAGAGTAAAAGTCAGTTAATGTAATGCGATTTATGTTTGGATAGGTTTTTTAAAAAGTCAGTTGAAAAAGTTAAAAGTTGTTTGGATGATTAATAAAAAAGTTAGTTTAATTGTAAAATGATTGAAAAGGGCATGGACTTTATTGAATAGTAGTGTTTGAAATTTTATGTTTTGAATATGATAATTGTTGAAAAAAATACCTAAAATTATTATGATAAAATAAAAATAGTTTATTTGTGAAATTATAAAATATTTATTTATTTTGTTCTCAAGTAATCCCTGTAATGATTATACATATTAAGGAGTTTTTATTAATGGGTAGTTTTAATGCACATGATTAATAAAAATATTTTAGACAAGACAATATTAATTTATTACAAATAAATAATTTAATTAATTTTATTAATATTTTAAATTAGTTATCTAACTCTTATGTTAAGAATACGTAGTATCAAATTATTGGGTTTGTTAGGGGTAATTTTGTCTTTTTTCATTACCATCTTTTCTCTCTCCACGTTTATGACGGCAAAAGCTCAAAAAATTGGTTTCAGCGTTATGCATTTTTTTACCCAAAAGTTCATTTGCAAAAACGCTCACCCAAACATCTGTTTGAACATTTATCTGCTAGTAACGTTAGTTTGCGCCATTCCAATACACATTTTCTATTGAAAATGTTGATCCAAACATGCACTTATAAGCTCCGCTAAACACCTTCCAATTTTCCAAACGGGCTTATTAGAAAAATAAGTAGCTTTTAGAGTCTCAATCGTTGATACAAACAAGCACTTAGTGTTTTTTCTTTTAAATGTTATTGAACCATCTCGTGCTGCTCTATCACATATAAATATATGTAGATAAATGGTTGATTTTGATGATAAATATAAGATCTCAGTCTAGTTTGCTTCTTAAATTTATCAATTTTTATTTAAAATATTCATATTAATTACACATGTATAAAGAGTGTTTCTAATTAAAGGATAGTTTTAAGGGAAAATTTCACTGTACGATCGCAGAAGACAATTAATATCAAACAGCCCCCAAAACTTTCTGAAACCTCACTACAGGACCAAGGGACCAATCTGATATTAATTCCACAAACGAAATGACGCCACTGCCCCTCATTTTAGAGTGAGATTACAATAATACCCCTCCCTTTTTATTTTATTAAAAAATAAATATTTACCGGAGTTACTGTTCCGGCCACCGGAGGTCGGAGGTTCGGCCACCGGCGCTCAGGTGGCCGCCGTCGGGGTCCGGTCACCGGTGGCCGGAACAGTAACTCCGATGGGACCTCCGGTGGCCAGAGTTTTTTTATTTAAAACAAAGTGGCCAAGGGAGGGTTTGAACCCAGGACCCCTTGGCACACCAAAAAACTTGTAACTACCAAGCCAAGCAACCCATTCAATCATAAAATGCAAAAAAACTATATATAACAAAATAAACGCAACAGTCCAAATGTAAGTGAACAAGTGAAATTAGACGATTTACAAGTGCAATTCAGAAATTTGCAACAAAAATTAGGCAATTTACAAATAACATAATAAAAGTCATAACCCCAAATGCAAGTTTTTAAGTGCAAATGAGCAAGTAAAATTTGAAGATTTACAATAAAAGTTTATGGATTTACAACCCAAATTTGGCAACACAAAAGAGAATTCACAACCCAAAATATAAGTGTTTGAGTGTAAGTGAACAAGTGAAATTAGACGATTTACAAGTGCAATTCAGAAATTTGCAACAAAAATTAGGCAATTACAAATAACATAATAAAGTCATAACCCCAAATGCAAGTTTTAAGTGCAAATGAGCAAGTAAAATTTGAAGATTTACAATAAAAGTTTATGGATTTACAACCCAAATTTGGCAAATACAAGAGAATTCACAACCCAAA